GGCTGGGGAATTCTGGGAGTTGAAGTCCACACCTCTTAAAATTGCCAAGGTTGAGAAACACTGGCTTAGCTCTTTATACTGTTCAGCAATGAATATATTAAGCTTTTAAGATAGGCAAAGTGGGGTGAGCAAAATGCAAGAATTATCTTGCTCTGTCTGCTGAAAGAGCTCTTTAGTTCAGTACTCCTAAGTGTTTTATTTCTGATTGTGTGTTCTGGTGAGACTGGTTTTTCCAGGAATCCCCCAAGCAGGGCAATAGCCTTTTTCTGTTATTGGTTTCCAACATTAGGTGTTCTGAGATACACTGCTGCTGTACATGGAAGTCCCTGGCTCCAGAACCACATGCCTCGTGTTACTGAGGCAAATTAAACAAAACCAGCCAGCACAGTCCTTGTAGCTGTGCAGTTCTTAATCATTCACTGGGGTCATTCATAATGGTGCTAGATTATGATTATTAAATTGTTATATTATATTTTATTGTATTTTAATTGGTGTTTATCTTTTCTGTAAACTTCCCAGAGTCATTTTTTAATGAGATAGGCAGTGACAAATTTGATATATAAATAAATTAAATAAATAAGTAAATTCACTTTGGGCTTAGCATATTCTATGAATCTAACTACATGACTTATAGCTAGCATACTGTGTGAATCTAGCCACTGTGACTCATTCAATAACTATGGTTAAGTTAGAACATGGCTTAGAACAATGGGTGATTTCGGTCAATCATCAAGAGCCAAGTTTGTTCCCATCTTTATAGCTCATGATGGGGTCTGTATGTCATCATTCAGTGTGGAATGCTGGAAAGCAGATCTCTCTTTTTCAGTTGCATGTGTGGAGAACAAGATGAGAAACCTAAAATTACTGAGAGCGCAAGAATGCCAGCCTGTCCGAGCTCTTGGAACTCCTCAAGGTTTCACTGTCCGCGCAGACAGGAGAACAGTGTTGATCAGCACCGAGTATGGAATTGTGGAGCTGGATCCTGTTACACAGGAGGTGAGGGGTCACATGTTATGTCAGATATGGCTCTTGGGTTTGAAGAATTGTCTTCCTAGCAATGGCTGTGAAAGGAAAACTGGGTGATGCCAGCTGCTTTTACTCCTGTCCGTAATGGACCCTTGGTTCTTCACAGCGTTAGGTTTAATTATGTAAGTATCTGGGCACAAGAAACTTAATTTAGAGTTTCTGACACTGTGTATTCCTCAGGAAGAATCTGGTCTGCTTGTGGTTTGTAGAGCAATCTTTCACTCTCATCTCCACAGAGATGCAGTTGATGGATTTAAAAACAAGTCAAGGTGGGGCCCTCATTGTGTGAGACACAGAATATGTGCAGGCAACCTTTACTAAATACTTTGTTCAAATGTATAGGAATGTATAAAATATATAGGAAGAAATAATCAAGACTGTAGATGAACATTTTAAAAAATCTTTATGGGCCCAGACTTTCTTGCTGCATGGTCT